GAGCCACTCGCCCCCCATCCGCAAGCTGCTGAACTCCTACGAGGAGCTGCGGGGCAGCCGAGGCCGCAAACCCCTCCGATCCTGTCTCAACCAGAAGCCGAGCGCAGAACCTGAGCCCGAGCGGCGAGACAACACCAAGAGCTCCAAGGGGCAGAAGAAGAAGCGAGTCGTGTTTGCTGATATGAAGGGGCTCTCGCTGACGGCCGTCCGCTTCTTCTCAAGGATCGAGGAGGACCTTTGTGACTTGCAGCATGCCCTGTCAGACCTTGCCTCCTTCCGCCCCAGGCTGTGGGACTCACGCCCAGAAGCGTGCAGGTACGTGCTGGACTTCCCACAGCCCTCAGTGGACTACACGGCTTTCCGCAGCAGCCTGCACAGGAACCTCGTCTGCCTGGAGAGCTGTGTGATCCAGGACCGTGCTCTGTCAGGGACGGTGAAGGTCAGAAACATTGCCTATGAGAAGAAGGTGGCAGTCCGCATCACCTCCGACGGCTGGAAGAGCTTCCGGGACGTCCCCTGCCAGTACATGCACAGCACGTACGGCTCAGCCGACACAGACATCTTCTCTTTTGAGCTCACCCTGCCCAAGCCAGCCAGCGGCCGCAGGGCCACCGAGTTCTGCATCTCCTTCCAGTGTGGACAGAAGACCCACTGGGACAACAACCATGGGAAGAACTACACGATCCGCCATGTGGGCGGATCCTCCCGTGCCGTGAAGAGTGCCAGTGGGGCCTGGGAGCACCTTGGCACCTCTGGGGCTGCCGCCCTGGTCCTGTCTCACCTGCAGACCTGGCAGCGTTCAGAGACCCGGGCTCCTTACTGGTAGGAGGGCGGTGTGTGAAGACATGTAGGTCCCCTCCACATCCCAGACATGGTACAAGAGTCTTGGGGGAAGGGCCAGCTGCAGAAGATGTTGCTCACAGTTCTGTTGGCTCCTCCACGGCTCTATGAGCAGCTGCCGGTCTCTGCAGAAGCTTTTTCCCTGCTGGCTCCTGCCACAGAGGCTGGAAGCTGTTGCTTGGAGTGACTCCTGGAGGTTCTTGCAAGTGACAAGGAACAGGCTGTGGGCTGGAGCCCGTGGCCGTGCCTGAGCCACGCGGGGAGCCAC